GTTTTTCTGGTTGTTGTTGTTGCACGCCCAATTCATTGATCTACTCTTAAACTGATGCAAGCATTTGGACATATAAAATTTCTCTGAAGTACTGCTTTGTCTGCATCCCCCAGATTTTAGTATGTTGTCTCATTGTTGTCATTATCACTAATGATATTATTGTTTCTAGGATTTGTTCTTTGACCCACTAATTCCTTAGAATGAGATTAGTTTCCTATTATTTTTTAATTTATGCTCCAAAGGGCTTTTATTTAATGTAAATTGTTATTGCATTATAGCCAGAAAAAAAAAGATGCATTTAATATTTCTGGTTTCCTGTATTTGTGAAGTTTTTATGCCCTACAACATGGTCAATTTTTGTGAAGGTGCCATGCACAGTTGGAAATCAGGCATACTACTTTCTATTCCCATTCAATATTCTCCAGGGGTCTATCATATTTGACTTTTCTAAAGTTCTAATCTAACTTCTTTCCTGTTTTTTTTAAAATAGTAAAACTATAGTTTTACTATTTCCTCCTGAAACTCATTTAACTTTTCCTTTAAGAATTTACATACTATGCCATTTGGTACATTTATGTTTAGTATTTATATGAATTCATTGTCTATGGTGTCTTTTAGTGAAATGTGGTTTTTCTGTTTATGTCTTTTAATTAGATCTGGTTTTGCTTTCGCTTTGTCTGAGATCATGATTGTCACTCTTGCCTTTTTTACTTCAGCTGAAGCATAATAGATTCTTGCCCTGGCCTCTTATTTTAACCCTATGTATGACTTTAGACACACTGTTTCAAGTATGTCTCTTGTAAACAACATATTGTTGGATTCTGGTTTCTAATCTATTCTGTTCTCTTCTGTTTTATGCATGAGTTCATCCCATTCACATTCAGTTATAATTGCTGTTTATTTCCCTCCATCTTATTTTCATGTACTAAGCTTCTTTTTTAAACTGTTTTCTCCTTAAGAGTTTATTTCCTCAAGAGTCTGTTTTGTTTCTGACCACCGCCTCCATTAATCTACCCTCCCCTTGCTTTAACAGCTTTCCCCCTACTTTCCCATTGGGTGAGGTGAATTTCTGTACACAACTATGTTTATTCTCTCTTCCTTAAACTAATTCAGATGAGTGAGGATCAAGTGTTGCTTCATAGTCTCAGTACCTACATTCATCGTAAATTCTTCTTCATTGTACCATTTATGTGAGGTAATTTTCTCTGGTCTTCCTCTCTGGTACCTCCTTCCCCATTGCATTCCTCATTCTTCTTTTGAGATAATCTTAACATAAAATGACACCTAGGCCCTCTCTCTTATTAGATTCCCTCTAAGAGACTTAGTAATGATAATGTTCCAAGGAATTACCTACGTCCTTTCTCCATTTAAGAATGTTTAACCTTCTTTAGTCTTTTGTGATTTCTCTCATGTTTACCCTTTTATGCTTCTCTTGAGTCCTATGTTTGAATGTCAAATTTTCTATCCAGCTCTGGTACTTTTACCAGGAATGCTTAAAAGTCTTCTATTTCATTAAATATCCATTTTTCCCCCAGAAGGATTATGCTCAGTTTTGCTGAATAGGTTATTCTTGGCTACAATCCTAGATACTTTGTTTTCTGGAATAGCATATTCCATGTCCAAAATTCCTTGACAATGGTGGCTGATCAAACTTGTGTGATTCTGTGGTTCCAATGTGCTTCAGTTCTTTCTTTCTGGCTACTTGCAGTATTTTCTCCTTGATTCTGGAATTTGGCTATAATATTTCTGGGAGTTTATATTTTGCAATTTTTTTCAGGAAGTGACAAAATTTCTACTTTCCCCCCTCTGGTTCTAAGATATCTGGGCAGTTTTCCTTCATAATTTATTGCAATTTGATGTCTAGACTCATTTATGTTTTTAGTTCAGGGCTTTCGGAAAGTTCAATAATTCTATTTTTATTTTTTTTTTTAAATTTTGGAGGTGATGGGGGTTAAGTGACTTGCCCAGGGTCACACAGCTAGCTAGCAAGTGTCTAAGGCCAGATTTGAACTCAGGTCTTACTGACTCCAGGATTGGTGCTCTATCCACTGCGCCACCTGACCCCAATTTCAATGATTCTTAAACTGTCTCTTCTTGATCTATTTTCCAGGTCAGTTGTTTTTCCTATAATTCACATTTTCTTCTATTTTTTTCAATCTTTTGAATTTGTTTTATTATTTGTTATCATGGAGTCATTAACTTCCATTTGGTCAATTCTAATTTTTAAAGTTATGTTCTTCAGGAAGGTTTTGTGGCTCTTGTACAAAGCTATTTTCTTTTCATGACTTTTTTTGCATAGCTTTCCCTTCTTTTCCCATTTTTTCCTCCTCTGCTTTTATTATTTTTAATTTTGTTCTTTTAAAAAAAAACTCTTCTAAGAATTCTTGTTGGATTTTTGTCCTATTTGCATATTTCTTTAAGGCTTTGCTTGTAGATGTTTTAAGTCATTTTGTGTGTGTGTGTGTGTGTGTGTGTCTTGAGCTTTCCTGTCACTATAGTAGCTCTTTATGATCAGGTTCTTTTTTGTTTGCTCATTCTTCCAGCCTGCTTCTTGACTTTGGGCTTTGTTAGTGTTGGGCTCTGCTCACTTTTGGAGGCGGTGGGGATGTCTGACTTGCTTCTTTTCTTTTTATGTTCTGCTATTTTCACAGCACATTCTGGGGGCCACAAGTTTTTGGTGCTTCCAAGGTGGTATGATCTGAGGAGAGGTTTGTTCACTACCTTCCCAGTAAAAGCTCTGCAACTTCCTGACCTAGGTTTGTGCCTGTTGTTTTTTGCAAGTTTGAGTTTCTTTAGACTACTGCCGAACTCAGTTACTGTTAGTCTGTTGGGAAGTTCTGCTGTTTCAAGAGTGACTGAACTGCCTTGGTCATGGTTTCCTGCCTCAGTTATTTTAGTGCATGCTTATGTGCTGGGCTAAAGGTTAAAATTGAGTCTTCCTTCTGCTCCTGGGATCAGAGCCACACAGCTAAATTTTTGGAACTTTTTCCTTGCAATCTCCACAACTTGGGCCTCTCTTGCTTCTGACCATGACCACTCCTCTCTCCTTTGGAACTATGACCCATAACTGGGTAATGAGTAACAGAGCTACCAGCCCACACCTGTTCCTATTCCCAGCGCTGGTTCAGGAGTCCTCTGGGATCTTATTCTGCCCTGGTGCTTCCAACCCTGGTGTTCAGTCTAAGTCTCTGGGGACTAGAATGCTCCCTATAGTTACAGCCACTGAACTCATGGCTAAACCTTGCCCCCATGTCCACATACCTCTAACTTCCTAAGTTGCCTTAAGTTAGAAAGATGACTCACTTAAGACTGTTTATTTTTCCCAAAAAGAATTCAGCCTGGTGCATTTCCTAGCTTGATATGGAGGATATGTTGTGTGAGCTAAGCAAAAACGCCAGCACTTCCTCTGCCATCTTGATTGCACTTCCTATCATTATGATTTTAATGGGCATTATGAGACGAAACCTGGTTTCAGACACAGGTTAGACCTTGAGAAGGGAGCATGGTGTAGTGCTAAGATCCCAGCCTTGACAATCCTGCCTCAGGCAACTAACTAGCTATGTGACCTCAAAGAAGTCAGTTAATCTTCATGATCCTCAATTTCCTGATCCATAAAGTGGGGTGATAGATTTGATGGTCTCTAAGGCCCTCCAAGATCTAAATCTACAATCTGCTGATGACCTAGGTCCCTGCCACATAGTTGGCTATGTGAGCACATTTCACTGCCTCAAAGCTAATCTCTGCATTACAGGCAATTTGTCCAAGATGCCTTGAAAGAACCTAGGGATGGCAGTATTAACATTAGGAATTCCTAGATTCAAAATTCACATTAAGCTTATTCTATTTTAGGTTCTATGCTTAATACAAACAAAAATAAATAAAATAGGGAGTATCTACACTACCAAGAAGTTTCCACATCAGGAGCACCCAACAACCTGATTAAAATCTCTACTACAGACTGCCTCCCCACTCCCCCCAAAAGGGCCATTAGGCTTAAAAGCAAGAGGAAGGTGAAAAAATAGCAGATGTATGTGTGACTCTGGGCAAATCACTTAACCCCAATTGCCTCACCAAAAAAAAAAAATCAGGTAGAAAAAAAAATTAGCAGCTGCCAAAACTAACCCTTATAGCTTCCCTTATGACTAAGCAGTTTTTCCCCACGGATGTCATATTTTATTCATAATGATAATAGCTATCATTTATAGAGTACTTTACACGTTCTCATTTGATCTTCACAATAACCCTGTGATGTAGATACTACTATACTCATCTTACAGATGAGGAAACTGAGGCTGAATGGATTACCCAGGATCACATATCTAGTAAGTATCCAAGATAGGTTTTGAGCTCAGGACTTCTTGACTCCAAGTCTAACATGCTAGCCACTGTTCTACTAAGCTGCCCATCTATATGGTAGATTAGATTTTTCCAAAATCCTATGCCATAGGTAAAATTGACCCTTTCTATTGATGAATATTATAGTTGTAGAGTAGGTAGTGCTAATTTCATTTTCTTGCTTTCAAGCTCATGCTTAAAGTCGTTGATTAAATCAAACCTGAAGTCCATTTAGGCTTACCCAGCAGATTCCTATGGTATACTTAACTACATTTCTCCCCCCCACCTCCTGCTTCTTCTCATCAGAAGAACTATAGGGCTTGGTTTACAGTCTTCCTGTCACCTATCCACCTGGGCTACTTTTGTTACTTTCTTTCCTTTCTGTTGAGTTCTGAGAGAAGAAAAATGAGTTACCTGCACAGACCCTCATCAATATGGTGACCACTGGATTCTCCAGACCGATCCCTTGCTCTAAAGATCTTCAAAAGATTTTGTAACTAAAAGAGGATTCATTTCAGTTATAGCTCATGACCAAAATCCTAATAACCAATTAATAGTATATAAGTGAAGCTTGACACAATATTATGAGGCAAGTTTTTTATTTTAAAAAATTAGTCTATATTACAAGCTACTTAAGTCTCAACGACCTTTAATACATTCACATCTTTAAAAAGTGTCAGCTATGTTTAGCAACACTTGCTGACCTGACCTGCAGTGCCCTATAAAAATACAAAAATCAACGCTGTTGATCTTGAGATTAAGTGCTTATTTCCGGAATTTTATTTCAGAGGCAGAATTGCAGGTGGTTCCATAAGGGAGACATGCAGGTACCTGCAATGAGACCACAAAACCAATTTGTAATCATGGGCTAAAGATTACAATTCACAGAGTTCATTCAGAAAGGTTAAGCCAGACAAGAGTATACGTAGTAAGTATTGGCACATTTAAACCATAGTTTAGTCAGCTCACAATAACTTATACATGGTCCCCTCCCTACCCTCTCTGCCACCAGCCCCCCCCCCCAAAAAAAGAGAGAAGTAAAAAGGAAAATCAAGCCCAGAACCTAGGGCTTCACTGACCTAAAGTCAGCTTCCTCCTCTGGATTTAGCCCAGCATACCTTATCTTCAGCCCCCAGAGATGTTGCCTCATACACCCTTTACTTAACTTCCCTGATTTTTGAAGTCCACTAAACCTCCTGGACCTCTCTACTTCAGGGGCCAGTTTCAGTCTGAGTTCAGAGATCAGCCACAACTGGACCCTAGTTATTTCTAGTTATTTTGCCCCCTTCTGCAGTGACCACTGTCACTGGGTCCCAACCCCTCCCCTATTTTCTTTCTTTCCACTCTGGAGCACAAGAAGGTATTTTCTAAGGTCTATTAACAAAGCAAAGGGATACATACAAATTCAGAAATACAGTAGGTAAGGTAATTAGAAATGTGTATAATAAATTTATACTTTCTCTTAATTAGGTTACTCTAAACTTCCAGGTACTCTAAACTTCCAGGTACTCTAGAGTAAAACATTCCCTCAGGCTTATCCTGTCCATCTGAATTCTCTCTGGCCCTGGTGGCCTCAGACTTTCCCTTCCGAACACACCTTAGCCAAATTGGGGATTGCCTACTTGAGCTGTCTAAACCAAGATCACTGGTTCATTCTTCCAATCCCAGGTTCACTCTCAGCCAATCAGGGAGCCTTTTGATGGTATAGCAAGCGCATGGTGCTCCACCCAGTCTGGTGCCATCACTCAACTAGGTAGCTAACCACACCTCTCCCCACGAGGAGACAAACAAGGAATATAAAAACAGGTAAATAGAACAGAACCCATTCACCTCAAAATTAAAATCACAATTTAATCTGACATAGGTCATCCTCAAAGGCATACACACATATTGATAACCCCATTTTCTATCTACTTTAGAGTTAAGTGGAGCCTCTCCAGTCAAATTGCCTTGGTTTAAAAAGTTTAGTGTGTATGATACTGGTTGTGGAGATACTATGCTACTTCTAACTCTGATTCTGGTGTGACGCACATGCAGCTTTTATTGAAAGTGATCCAAGACACAAGGAAGTTTTACAAACTTACTTTGATGCCTTATACTTTTCCCTAATTGCTTGTTGAGGTCGATGGGGGATATCAAGGCATGCTCTGTGCAACTCACTCAGGCAAGGCACTATTTCGCTTAATGAATACCCAGTGAAGGCAGCCAGGGTTTCTGGCTAATCAAGAAGGAAGAAAAAGAGACAAACTTGCTTCATAATTTTAAAAATAAGATGAGAAATCTACAGATAACTCTGATGACTATGATAGGTTGTGTTGAATGTCTTTGTGCATATAGTAACACAAAACACAATTCTTACCCTTTACAAGACTGATAATACAGGAATGAGGAAATCATCCTAGAACTAACTTTTCTTGCATTTTCATACTTGACAAGGGAAGGCAAATCCATTCTACCAGCTTCTACTACTCAGTCTGGCTTAATGGAGGAGGCAAGCTTCCCCAGAAGATGGGGCACTTCACCTACATATATATCTGTCAGAGGGCTCTCTGCTAAAAGCAGAGCACTTTCAAAAAGTACCTAACTTGTAAATGATATTTTTCAAAAAAAAAAAAAGAGTGAGAGGAGTTGTTATCCTCTGCCTGATTCTGACCAGGAATTTAAGGCAAAAATAAGTGGAAAAATATTGATTATGGCTAGGCACTTTAACTGAGTTCACAGGACTTGGACCAATCAGATAACAACCCAGGATATGAGAAACTCACAAGAAATCTTTACTGAACCAGTATGTTCATGGAGAATGGGAAAAGTACTCTTTGGAGAAAGGAGAAAGTAAATTTTGCAAGGTGTAGACTGGCTTGGCAGTGATCACTGTTCTAGAACAGATTACTACAAGTGGCATATGAACACTCAAAACAATAAACACTTAATAAATGCTTTATCCATCTATGTGTCAGGCACTCAAGAAAGGGAAGAAATGATTGCTATGAACCAGCATAGATACACTGAAAGCAAAAGCATTACAAATTAACTTTATTTTTTCTCTTCTCTTCTAGCCCTCTCCCCACACCATCTTTATTTTGGCCATGATTGCTATGCCAAGCACTAAGATGAGAACACTCCAGACCTAGAGAGTCTAAAGTCCCTAATATGTACATGTATGTATACACACACACACACACATACACACACGCACACACATACATACACACACATATATACACATACATACACACACATATATACACACACATACATGTATGTGTGAGTACTGACATGTATGCATAGGTATAATAGGTATGCGTAAGCAGGTATATACACACACGTCTGTATACATACATGAAGACCCAGAGAGTTAAAGTGTCTTGAGGCAGTGGTTATTAACTTGGGGTCCTCAGACTACCCCCCCCAGGACTCCATGGATAGATTTCAGAGGGAGGTGGGGAGGCTGTGAACTTGGATGGGAAAAAATGATTACATCTTTATTTTAATAACATTAGTTTCCTTTGCAATCCTATATATTTTGTTTTAGACATTAAAAACATTATTCGGAAAGGGGTCCATAGACTTTCCCTGAGTGCCAAAGGGGTTCATGAACAATAAAGTTTAGCATCCCTGATCTAGAAACGTCATTTCTTACCCAGAAGTGCCGGTTCACAGTGTAGTTTGCCAGACAATAAGCAGCTGCAGCAATAAGTGAAGGAACATATTTCAAGAATGGGTCAGCTTCAAGGAGGCTTAGTTCTGCAACATACTAAACATAAATTCCCACCAAAACTGTTAAATGTTATTTAAATGAACAAATATGCAATTGGTTTCTCATTGTGACATTCACATTATTGGCACTAAGGTTTTAGTGTCACCCATCAGTGGCCCATAACTTTAACCTAGGTTGACCCAAGATGTACTATCTCATCATGGAGATACTCAGCTCGGGGTCCATCCACCTGAGAATTCCTTATGGCCCCCACCAACCTAACAAAGGTTAAACTGATGGCTAGATGAGAGGCTACGAGGGTCAGTATGAAGTCAAAATAGATTACCACACTGATAAAGACACTGATATGGAAAACAGCATTGACAAAATCAAGCTATCATGGGCTACTTCAATCTAATAGCAGTAGCTTTCGGAGGGGGTAAAATAAAAGATACCAGTCCAGCTATAACTACATAGATAGTAAGTACTAATACTCCCTAAACCACAGCCAGAAAACAAGCTTAATTGTAATGTAGCTACTGCTCACCTACATAAAATATATGACCTCATTTAAGATGTTGGGGCAACGTTATAAACAATAAATAACTTGTAAGCTTTAGGTCTTTGCCATCTAAATCCTACATAGTGTATATAAGTAGATATACTTCCCTTAGTTCCCCTAAGAGAATATAAGTTCCTTGAGGCCTCAGACTCACTTTTTTTTGTTATCACAAACACTTTGTGCAGACCCTGACACATAGCAAAAGCTTAATAATAAATGCTCATCATTGTGATTCTAACACTAGAATCAGAAATCTAGATACTCTTATTCTGTTGACTGATTCTAAGTTGCAAAGCAGGGAAAAAGGGAGAGGGGGAAGGAAATATGCATTTATATAGTGCCTACTATGTGCCAGGCACTGTGCTAAGTGTGTAAGGATTATTGTCTCATTTGATCTTCATAACAGACCTGTGAGGTAGGTACGATTATTAGCCTCATTTTAAAGATGAGGAAACTGAGGCAGACAGAAGTTAAGTGATTTGACCAGGGTCACACTTGGAGTAAATGTCTGAGGCAAGATTTGAACTCCACTTCCCAGCTCCAGGTACAGTGCTCTACCCACTCACCCTTCAGCAATGGTTCATTAATGGAAACAGACTATAACAGGAGGAGTGATACTAGTCAAATGAAATTGAACTACACACAGCTACTTTCTCTAGTCTAGTAACAAGCCTACTTGATATTTCAGTATGGAGATTATTTGTGCCCAGTAAGTGAAGTTCCTCCAAGTACAAAGTGTCCCAAATACAAGACTTTGGGGATGTCCTGTATATTACTTGTTTCAAGTTTCACTAGCTTATAACAACACAGAGAAAGAGCCTCCATCTTCTTCCCAGAAAAAAAAATTTTTTTAAAAGTTAACCACAGAGATGTTGTTCAGTTGTTTCAGTCACATCCAACTTTTCATGACCCCATTTGGCAAAGGTTTTCTTGGCAAAGATACTAGAGTGGTTTGCCATTTCCTTCTCCAGTTCATTTTACAGTTGAGGAACTGAGGCAAATATGGTTAAGTGACTTGCCCAGGATCACAGAGTTAATTCCTGAGGTCAGATTTTAATTCAGGTCTTCGTGATCCTAGGTCCGGCACTCTATCCACTGTACCACCTTGCTGTCCATTTAACCTTGCTAGAGAAGTCATTTTGAAAGCAAATCCAAACCTATAGTTAAGCCCATGGAAAGGATATGAGAAGTTCTGAGCAAAAACTTAGAGATGCCTGAAAAAAAAAAACAAAACAAAACCTGATTCTGACTTCCTTGATTTTCAATTGCTTAGCATACCTTGGCCAGGGTCTCAGTTCTTTGACAGACTCCTTGCTTCTGTAAGTACTGAAGAAGGAACTGGTTGGTAGTGGGCACCGTCAGGTCAAAAGCCAGCACTTTCAGGAGCAGGTGCTCCATTCTTAAAAGCTGCTGTTTTGTGTAAGTATCATCAGTTATGTAGACAAATTCATCAATCTCTGGTGGATAAATCTCCTCATATTTCCTATGAAGAGTAAAGAGTTTCACAAAGATAACAAATATTTTAGAAATAAAATACTCCTCTGCTCTACCCTTTCTATTCTCTACAAATCCCCACCATTTCGCAAGAGACCTTACCAATCAATCTCTAAGAGTCTATAAGTTCCTTCAGGTGGGAGCCTTGTTTATCTTATCATCTTGCTCATAGCAGGCCCTTCAGCTTTTGAGTTTCTTTACATTCTATCTTCTTACCCACTCAAATGGCACAGGATAGAGGTGAGGATATTTTCATACTAAAAAGTTTGACATTGTGGAGACATGCTTAGGTAGACCAAGCATCCCCTTTTCCAACTTTTGGGACCTTGGACAAAATTTCTGGCTGACAACAGATGAAATCCCATTATGATTAATTCCCTGAAATTCTCCAAAAAAAAAGTTTTGTTGTTGTTGTAGAAAAACTATGATTAATTCAATTCAACCTCAATTCAACTTAACACATGTCCAATATGTAAAGGTATTGTCCCAAGTGCTGAGACTACAAAAACAAAAGTGAAACAATCCTTGCTTACATTCCCGAGGACCAGAGAGGTAGATGATTTGATGACCAGATTTTTTGTGATTAAAAAGTAAAAGTGATTTGGTCACAGCAGGAGAAAGACTATATATGCTTTGCTATGCCTAAATCCTTCATTCCATCTGACATAGAACTTTGTGATGTTGCTTTGGAGTATTTATTTTTTTCCAGACTTAGAATAAAAATGCAGCATTTTCTTTAGCATTTTACAATTTACAAAACACTTTCTTCACAAAAATCCTAGAAGATAGGTAGTACAAACATATTCCCATTTTATAGATGAATAATGAAGAGTTCATAGCTATGTATAGGTCAAATTAAGGGCCAAACTGGAATTCTACTTCAGGCCATATTATAAATTCTCTGCTTTTTATAAAATGCCAAGCTGCTTCTCAAATATACTTGCCTGAATATCTTAAAAAATGTAAATGGAAGTCTAAAGATAAGATAACAACTCTGCAAGGATGCCACAGCAATATCTTGCTATACTATTATAGTGTTTGTAAGAAACAAGTAATTTTGTATTGACTTTTAAGGACCCAGAAGAAGCATTTGTTGAAAATATTACCCATTATAATCAAATCATTAAGCTGTTGTTCCTATGACCCATTCACTTGGATATCATAAAACTAAATTCAGCATTAGCAAAATTATATATGCATTTTTTATTGTAGGCCAACAGCTGCCTTGTTCAGGTAAGAAGTGTATTAAGTTGGTACGCTTTTAAAAAAGAAAAAGAAAAACTCTAAACCTAATTCCACAAAAGAGAATCTTTTCCTGCAGAAGGTAAGGACATATCTTAACGACCAACTTCACTTAATGACATCTCTTCAACAAAAAGAAGATAAGGATTTTGACACTTTAGGAGTTTCACTATCACTTCAGTTAGAGAAAATACTTACGAAGCCAACAGAATGGCTGCTGTTCCTACAAGCTGCAATTTCCCTCTGAGAACAGACATGCACGAAAGAAACCTGTCCAAGAGATTGACAGCCAGGTACAGAGTTTCAGCTCGAAGTTTGTATTCTTCCCCAACCTCTACCAGCCAATCCACTAAAATGGTACGCATTCCTTCTGTGATATCAGGCTGCTTCCGCATGTAGTGGGCCTTTGGTCTGTATTTCATCTGTTTTTTGATAGAGTTTTGATATTAATTCAGCATGTGCTATATGAGAGAAGGCATAAGACCACAACGAAGGAGCTGTGGGTTGTTTAGTTTAAAACAAAAACAAAGAACCTGAAATGGGTTAAGAAGGCAAAAGATTAACAATCAGGCTTGTTCTGTCACTATTACATCCAAAAAATAAAAAATCCTTACTGTTTTAAGTTGGAGGGTGAGAGAGGAGGTGCACGTGGAATGGAGTTATCTGGACCATTCCTACTCCATGATGTAATAGAATTTAAAAGGAAGTAGGAAAGAAACTGATCACATGGCTGTTTCCTACAGTATGTGTCAAGGCCTCTGATTTCATTGATGTGGAAACTCCCTCCACCAGCACAGAATATATAATCTATAATGTAGGAGTTAAGTCTCAAGAGTTGACTATGCTCAAAATTATTAAGTGCTTGTCAACGATCACACAGCTAGTAACTATCATGAGATTCAAACCCTCGGCTTCCTGCCCAGACGTTACACTGTGTATGAAATGCTTTACTGAAGTTTCAGGCTTCAAATTACATAGCTCCAGGTCCAAGGGAAGAACCCCTCCTCGTCCCATCCACCATTTTCATAGATGCCATCATTCTGTAACTACTAACACAACCAATGACTAATGCTAGGACACTACTGGTGGCCATAACCAACTACTGACAGTTATTTCAACATCAAGGATCTGGGGTTGCTGAAAAAAAGAAAAGAAGTGCAACTCACTTCAGCTTCTCTAAGGTATTGATGAATTTCTTCAGCATATTCAGTCACATTTATTACATCTGTATCAATATCTAAATGATCCTCAAACTGTGATTGCAGAGATGTGTCCACCAACATAGGAGAAACTGCACGGGTTCAAAATTCAGTCAGATAAGTCATTGACACAATGGTAACCTCTACCAATCCTCCCCAGTTAGAAGTCACAAGAGAGCCATTTCTTCTTCTTCAAACTTGACGTAACTAGATTGAGAACTTAAAATGTCAAAAACATCATCAAAACAGGGGACCATGAACTGGAGGTAAGGCAAATTACCTGTGCTAAAATCCAACAGGAAGTGGAGGCCTGATTTCAGGATGCTGGTATCCACTTCATACACATCTTCGTACGCGATCTCTTCTCTAACAGTGCAGCTACAGCTACATGTCTCTCCATGTTCTGGTTCATCTACATAGATATCAAAGTCTTGTTTGGCTGGCACATGGACCATACAGTTAGAAATTAGCTTCTTTCCAGCTGGAGGGAAAGCATTTTCTGATCCAGAGAAGCACCTGATGGTTGTGATTCCCTAAGATAAAACAAAAGCGTTACCTTCTTTTAAGGTAAGAAATAAAACAAATGCAAGCTACCTTGGTAGGGACATCATAAAGATGGCACTTCTGAGTTTTGCCTTGTAAATTAAATGAGAGGAGGCAATAGTTGCTGCTATAAGATTGCCTCAAAAACTAGATGAAGTGAAGAAAGGACAGCATGAGTGACAACTATTTCTGGAAAGCTTCATTCAAAGAATGAAGCCTTCCGTACTTGCTTCTTACACAGTACAAAAGCAAAGTGATGCCTAGGGATCTAGGCGTACAGAAGTTCACATCGTGTTCTCTGCTCCTAAAACCAGGAAAACTGAGACTCAAAGGTAATAAAAGAAAAGGAGAAAAAACCACACTAGGTCTCTTCCCTACCTTGTTCTACACCCTTCTCTAAGTGACTCAGCAGTAAAGTACTTCACAGGGTCAAACAAACCCCCTTCTTTCATTGGAGGGGAGAAGACAACACAGGATAAATTTCCAGGAGACTCTGCAAATTAATAGATAACAAACAGCTTTCCTCAAGGATGACTGAAACAATTCCATGCATAATTTTCCTCATGGACACCATCCTGACTGTGTTGCTCTCAAACCTTGAGTGAGTTATCTAAAAATAATCTAAAGAGAATCCAATAAAGAAGATAAAATAGTTTCTTTTACCTGTCAGAATAATTCTTCCAGGTAGACTAGTCTAAGCTTTTCCTCAGGGATGGGAAAATACAGATATAGACATTAAACAGTCACCATCGAGGGCCAAAACTTAGGTACATTCTGATCAATTCCATCATTACCACAGCTTATCAGTCAGCATATCAATATTCTGTTTCACTGCATTGCTAGAAATCAGTTGGCAGAAGAATTTTTTAAATTTAAGCTAACATTGACATTTTTCTACATAACAACCGCTCATAGGAGTGGAATTACTGAATACTTAAGTCTCAGCAACCATGGGCTTTGGCCAATTTTTATCTAAGCATCATTGACTAAATCATATCAAGGATAAAGAAAATTCTATCAATAGCACATTGTAGTAAAAAGAACACTGATCTTGAACTCAAAATGCCCCAGTTTGTTCCTGGGCTCTAACATTAGCTCTACAGCACAAGGCATGTCAGTCCCAATAGACTAACTTCTTGATTCAGTCTTCTTCTGACTTCGGACTTCTTGAGTAAGCTTCTTGAGAGCAAGATCTGATTCATTTTTGGCTTTGTACTCTTAGTATCTTGCACTATGCCTTGAACATAATAGCATGGGCTTTAAAAACACTGAACTATAAATATTTTAGTACGCAGAGTTTAGGCAGCCACTCTCACTCTTCTTTTATCCAAAGGGGTGTAAAGCTACAAGCAAAAATTACTGGGCGAGTTACTGGATACCTCTACTGTAGTCTGACCACAACACTAACAGAGAATGCAAAATAAATACCGCAAAAAATAAAGTATAAAGGAACGTATGCCACCACATAGGACAATTGCTCTATACTGACCCCAAGGAGTAATGAAGCTATAAGCCTTAAGCTACAATCAGTTCCATTAATTAATAGTGTTTATCAAGCAGGCAAGGGTGGTTTAAATTGGGGAAAAAAAGGTATGGAAAGAGGAAAAAACTACCCACATTTATCTCCAAAAACCAGATACAATGAAAAGTAGCAGCTACAACATGGGATGAATATCAAAGAGAGAAAATTTAAATTTAAATCTTTCACAATAAACAATATCTAAGAAGAGAACAACAAAATTTCAGATGTCTATACACAAATGCATAAAGTATGAATAATAAGCAAGGGAGGACCAGAAATGCTAACAGAAAAAGAAGGTAAATTCTACCTCACAGACTTTGCTGAGACTTGGTAGAATTGGATTCCTGGCTGGAATGAGTATGAAAGGGTATAACTTATTCAGAAGACACCGGCTAGATAAAAGGGGTAGTGTATTAAGACAGTAACTCATTTCAGGAATTCCAAAAACTAAGGAAAGCAAGGCACAGTGAAGAAGCTTTGAGTGAGGATGAATGGGGCAGAAACAGAATTCTAAGATAAGAGGCATGGTTATACAATAGTTCCTATAAAAATGATCCAGAAGGTTTAGTGCATTGTACCCTCAATAAGTCAACAGTGTGATATGGCAACCGAGAAAATAAAGCAACCTTAAAGTAAACTGAAACGGATAATGTCCAGGATGAAGGAGGAAATATCCTTGCTGTACTCTGCTCTCAGACTACATCTGAAGTACCGGCGCCAGCTATGGACATCACGTTTTAGAAGGACATTAATAAATTAGAGAGCATCAAAGAGGGCAATCTAAACTAAAAAAAAACAAAAAACCAGCACTCATGCTCTATAAGGTTTAGTCAAAGGGACATGATATTGAATCAACAGACATTTATTAACTGCCTACTATACATCAGGCACTATGTTGGGCACTGAGAAAACAAAGACAAAAGTATAACAGCCCCTGACCTCAGGGAGCTTGCCTTCTAACAGGAGAAGACAACGTGCACATTTATGGAAATCTGCAAAACAAATACAAGGTAACATGGGTTAGGGTGAGGAGATAGGAAAGCTTTCATGTAAAGGCAGCGCCTGAGCTGAATCTTGGGGGGGGAACCACAACAGGAAAAGGAATTCCAAGAGATAAATGTGGGGAGGGAGAGCATTCCAGGCATGGGGACCAGACAAATACAAAGGCACAAAGATGAACTAACGAATGTCTTCTATGGCAGTCAGAGAGGAACAGCACTAAGACTAGTTTGGCTGGAGTGGAGAGGAGTAATATGTAATGACTAGAAAGGTAGGATGATGCTAGCTTGTACAGAGTTTTAGATGCCAAAGAAAAGTTTATATTTGATTCCAGAGGTAACTGGGAACCACTGGAGTTTACTGAATACAAGGGTTACGTGGTCGGCCCTTTAGGAAAACAGCTAGAGAAGACTCAGAGGGACAAGATACCCACCTTCAAGATTCTGAAGGGCCAGCATGCAAAGGAATTAGCTTTTTTTATTCGTTTAGACTTTCAAGGAGCAGATGGATGAAAACTTCAATGGAGGGGTGGAGAGAAGAAGCATCAGCAGCTAGCATTTAATAGTGCTCTAAGGTTTGCAAGATATTTTATACAGCTAGGTGACGTAGTGGATAGAGCACCAGCCCTGGAGTCAGGAGGGCCCGAGTTCAAATCCAGCCTCAGATACTTGACACTTACTAGTTGTGTGACAGTAGGCAAGTCATTTAACCCCATTGCCTAGCCAAAAAAAAGATATTTTATAAATATCTCATTTGAGCCTCACAATAACCCTAAGATATAGGTGTTATTGTACAATTTTTACATATAGGGAAACTGAGGCAGACCATGGTTAAGTGACTTGACTAGCATCACACAGCTATTAAGTGTCTCAGGCCACATTTTTAACTCAGATCTTTCTGACTCCAGGTCTAGCCCTCTATCTACTTGCATCATCTAGCTGCTTTAGGCTTGATGTAAATAAAATATAATCTCAGCAAGATTATCTATTTTCCAAAGACAAGCCTGGCAAAAGACAAAGAAATTCATGACTAAGAGGCTGGATATGGTAAATACATGACATAAAGAAAAGCACAAAAAGTCTCATGAAGCCCCTTTCCATTTATGCAGCAAAGGGTAGTGCAATGGCAGACAAGGGGACAGAGTACTAAGCATCACAGCTTTTAGATTAGCCATAAACATTAACTTGGCTGTTAATGCATTCAATGTGAGATTGTCCAGGACCAGAACTGTATTAATCCTGATGTCTCTATAAACAAACCCTGAAGGAACAAAGGAACAATACAGTCAAATGGAAAGACAGTTCAAAGGTTCTTCTCACAAAGAGAAATAAAAAGCATTGACAGAAGTGGATTTACGGTCATCTAAAGACTAGGAACATTACTTCATGAGACATTTGATCATCTCTTATTGCAGTGCTTGTGATAATCATTTGCAAAAGGATTACTCTGAAAAAATTGCAACATCTATAGTACTGAATAAAGTGGAGCACTAGAAAAACTCTACCAAGAACTCATTAAGACTCTCCAAATCAAAACAGCATGTACTTGGATGATCAGTGTCTTCAATGCAAAAGGAGGCAAAGGTAAACAAACAAAAAAACAATCTGTTGGAAAAGGAATATGGGATGAAAGAGGCCAAAGAATTATTAAATTACATAGAAGCCCCACATCTCTATGTAAATGTATTTTCAAAAAAAGAACTGGAAGATAATATATAAGAGAATCATCACATAAAAATGAAATTGAATTTTAAACAGAAAGAAACATTATTACATGGGTAAAAGCTAGAAGAATAAAAATGAGGAAAAGATATAGTACACAATTAAAATCCACCCAAATCTTACCTATTTAAACTAATTATTGAAGTGAAAAACATGAAAATGAGTAGATAAAAAGACATTGATGTCAATTTTCCATTTCACATATATTTAATTGATATGAACTGACTGTCATAATAGTCAAAAGTTCATCTTATTCATCAAACACTTGATCTACATCTAAAGATGACCTTTAACAAGAAGAAATATGCTACAGCTAATGACAAACTAGTTTAGAACATAAACCTTGTTTATAAAATCTTACAGAAAATGTGCAATATTGCCTCACAGCAAAAGACAGTGGAGGGGGGAAAATTTAAATAAAGTTTTATGAGAAACTCAACTAAAAGCAGTGTCATTCTATCCCCCTAAAAGCTAAGGATGAAACCAGAAGGGAGATAGACAAAAGGTAGAAAAGATCTGTGAGTTGTTTGTTTTTTTTTTTAATAATTCCACCACCCATGACAGTGAAGCCCCTACATTTAGATTCTAACATCACAATCCTGGATATACTTTGAGAAAGTGGAAAATGCACTGGAAAAAAAAAATAAAGATGAGAAAAGGAGATGGATTACACTAACTAGATTAGATAGTAGAGGTCAATGTTAGAGATGATACTGTTTTAAGGCAGTTGAGGAATCAATTCAAGGTA